CCACCTAGTATTTCAGCTGTTGGTTTTGTGTCTAATCTCCCTTCCTTGACAATACTCTGGAGAGAATCCTATGGCAATTTCCAGGCTCCCTCAATACCTAGGACAGAATCTGGCACCAACAACATTGGTAAACATTGGTTGAATAAATATTGGCTAGCACTCAGGAAAAATAACTCACGAGAAAGCCTCACGCCAACACCATTCATCTTCCAAAAGGATCCATATGTGTTTCCCTCTGCCCACTCAGGCACTTTGATCAATGAGAAAACTCCAAGCCAGGAGGGGAGAGTAAAGATATTGCTTGTAATTTCACAAATGACTGGAAGAATTTCTACAGTCCCTGGTGCAGCACGGCTCTGGTAAAAGATTGCTTTCTTTACCGCAAAACATTTCATGAGCATTAGTTATTGGTAAAGTCCCAAACTTTGCCACTCAGCTAAGTGGATAAGCAAAGCCAGAACTTAGAATGTCCACCCAGAGAAATGCCAAGTTGAGCCCCAAAGGGCACAAATATAAAAGTGGCACCCATATTAAGGGACCCAGCCAAAGGCCCTTTGCTCAGAAACAGAGTGCTATGACAGTGAGGCTCCTGATGGGGATCCAAATCCCAGGTGCCCCGACCCCTCAGCTCAAGTCACCCCTCTCCCTACAGCTCCAGCTCCAGCCTACACCTCCCTGCTTCTGAAATGTCTTGATCAGCTCAAAGCCTTATTTTTCTGTTTGTATTCTAGGTAGCCAAGTCTTCTCTCCAGTAACTCCTTCTTTGCCAGTAAACTATGTCCATCTGGCTCTCGATCCCCGGAAAAGCTGGTCACCAGGTCTTCCAAGGGACCAGGACCTGGGGAATGCATTCTCACCAGAGTCCCAGTGTCCTTGGGGAAGTTGCCTTAATCTTGAGCAAGTCAAGATGCCAGTTTGCTTAATGACACAAAAGTTTCTTGTCCCATGGGCGATAACTCTTGGGTAGCTGCGTGCTCTATGAGTTCCTCCAATGATCTAGGTGCCTGTGGACACAAAACTGAGGCTAAATTTTGTTCCAGAAGGAACAGCATGTAGAAACTAAAATAGAAAAGTCTAAAAATAAACTCTGAGACATGGGGTCCCTGGACGCTGGTCCTGAAGGAATAGGGCACAGTCTAATTTGGACATAAGGGACTGTCCCCCTAAAATTGAGTCCCAAACCCAGGAAAAGTCAACCACAGGAAAAGAAGTGTCCACGGGCTTCTAGAAAGCAGACTCAAATACAAAGACCCCCGCACAGGGAGAGGACAACGGAATTCAGGCCACTATGGAATCGGTTAAGCCTGCATTGGATCCAGTTTCTAGCTAAAAGTATGACAAGTTTACAGAAAAATACAGGAGATGAGGAAATATACTCAGTACACAGCCAGAATGCTGAGGCAGGGACTTCTACAGGTCAAACGACTCAGCCACTTCAGTAAGTAAATGGCAAAGAAAACAGGACAGTGTTTTTATGTTAAAGAGACGTGTCAACCAAATGCCAGGGGCACAGAGGCAAAGAATGCAACAGGAAAACAAGACATTTAGGAAAGGCCCAGGGAAATGAACACTACTGGGATATTTAATGAAAAACTGGCGTTGTTGGGTTTTGCACATTTGATAATGCTATGGTGAGTTTTGTTTTTTGTTTTTTTTTTTAAAGAATCTATGTCTCGGGGAGACATACATATTTAAGGATAAAATGCAATGTGCCTGGGATTTGCTTTAAATTAATCCACTGAGAAATAAGTCAGAAAGGGAAAGACAATTACCGGATGATTTCACTCATCTGTGGAATATAAATAACCAGAGAGACCGGCCAAACAACAGAAATAACTCAGACTGAAAACTACCGGGGTTACTAGAGGCGTGGAGGGAGGGGCCCGCCGGGGAGGTTTGTGGCAGTTTGTGCACAGGTGGAGGTGTGACGTCAGGCATGGCAGATCAATAACATCTGCTATTAATTAATTAACCCACTGGGTGAGGGCAGAGAGGAAGCCAGGTCAGGTCTTTGCTGAGAATCGCAGGCGGGTGACCAGCTCACCCGGGCATCATCGGAACAAGACTCTCAGTTTAGAAAGAGTCTGGCTTGAAGCAAACAGGCCACGTGGACGGTGCTTGCCGCCTGAGCTGCACGTGAAGATCCTGCCCACTGTGGCACGCCCCGCCCCGCCCTCTCCAGCCCCAGGTTCAAATCCCAGCTCAGCCCCTGGCTGTTTGCTGTGTGCCTCCGTACGGGTCTCAACCTCTCTGTGCTTCGAGTCCTCCTGGAACAACCAGATGGTGACGGCCCAGAGGATTTCCTGTGCTCACGTGAAGATGCTGGCTCACAGCACGGGGGAGCGTTTCCCTTACTCCTGTGCCACAGCTGCTGACGTTTTTGATGATGGAAAGACTGCATTGGGGGTGTCCTCCCCCCGGAACACTGAAGTTCCAGAAAGCCCCCCATTTCCCTCCCATCACACACAGCTCATCTTCTGTTGCCTCCACAGGCTCAGACAAAGCTCTGGAAACACATTCGCCTCCCCCAGACCTCACACGTATGTCCCCTTTTCTCAACAACCCCACCTGAGCGCCTCTGTGCCCTGCTGCCCTGCTCCCCGGAGAGAATGCGGCAAAGAGACTCCCTTTCTCTCCTTCCTCTTGCCCCATGCCATGACGCCACCTCTTACAATGCCCAGAAGGACCTCTGGAAATCAGGAAGTGGGGTGGAGTGAAGGGAAGTCAGAAAGAGCTCGAGACTTATGAATGCATAATGCTGAACTTTTTGGAAATGGACGGGCCCCGCGCCAGTCCTCACCAGGGTTCCTAGATTGTATTCTTCTTACAAAAGGCCCATTATGAAGGCTCGGCATCTCCCGTGTGACAGGTTTGGAGCCATAAAACTGCATGATGTCACAGGGACCAGGAGCTGAATCGGTTTCCCAGCCATGTGTCCTTATTCTCAAGGTCACTGGGGTCCTTGAAAGAGGTCTGAGGGCGGGAGGGGCGCTGGGGAGAGCCCTGCAGTCATTTCTACTAGTTCCACCCAAGGGCCCAAACATCTCAGCCCCCCAGGACTCTCCTCAGCTGGCGGGCCCCGCGTCATCACCACCTCACCTCCAAGTGTGGCGCCTTGGTCCCTCTGTGCATCCTGCCCACGGACGCCCTGGGAGAGCAGCGTCGTCCAGCTGCTCCTCTCTGCAGGGCCTTTGGGAATGACCTCTTGCCTAGTGAGTAAGGGGGTCTCGGGAGGATCAGAGGAATTGGATAGCTGGACCCCCACCCCACCTCTGCACTTACATGACTTGGTGGAGTCCATGTTCCCTTCTCTATAAAATAAGAGGCTGAGGGGCCTTGCTGGTGGTGAGGGAGTTGTCTCAGCACTAAGAAGCAATGATCCCTGGCCCCAGAGCTGACCCACATGGCACAGCAGACCTCTCCTGTCTCGCCCGCTGCTCCCCTCAGCAGCGTAACTCAGTTCTGCTCCCCACTCTGTCTCTGGTGGAGCCTCTCAGTCACTGCACCTCTGGCCTGTATGCATGAATAAACAAATCTTTTTTAAAAATAAAATAAAATAAAGGCTGAAGTGAAGGGTTGCTAAAGTCCCTTCCAGTTACACTGGTTCTGCTGCTTGGTGTAAGGAAGTGAGGGGAGCATGTAACTCTCTCCCCAAAGCTTTAGCACATGCTCTCCGGGTCCCAAGCTTGCAGC